AATAACTACAGGTATATTAGTTTGAACAACTTTATTTGTCTCATCTTCATATTTTTCTTCGATCTTTCGTTGAGGAAATAGAACACCAATAGTTTTGTAAGCTAATGCTGAAGCTACTCCAAATGACAAACCTAATTGAAAAAAAAAAAACAAGAAATCATGAATCAATACAAAAATCATGAATCGACGACAGTCAGTCAATTAAATTCTTCTTTTTAATATGAATTGTTGTAGCTGGAAAATTATTTATAGAGAAACATAACGAATAAAATGAACAAGATAAGTGAAGTGAATTCTAAATAAATTCAACATACCCCAAAAAATACTTTCATAGGAATTTTCAGAATTCTGATTATCGTCTGTAATAAAATTAATTAGTGAATAATGTTAGATCAAACAATAATAAATGTATGCAACGAGAAGAAAATAATAATTAAAAAGTGCTAACCAGCCATGTCTCTGTATTATTAGAAGCCTTATAATAAAGATGTTGTTAATTAATTAGAAATATGAATTATTTTTATAGGTATAAATTAAGTGGATTTATATTAGTGAATTACGTTCCAAGAAATATTATTGGAGTAATCTTCAAGTAATTATAAGATCTTCAACGTCATTAGGATTCCTATAAGGAAAAAAATAAATCCTAAAAGTAATAATTAATTTTTATTATCTTTGGTCCATATTGATGACTTTTAATTTTGATCTTTGTGAGATATGACTTAATAAATTTAATTTTTTAATTAATTAGATTATAGGTTTTTTTATTTTTTTTTATGTAGGAAATATATTCTATTTAAACTATTTTTAGAAGTATATTATCATTGAATATCTATACAAACTTAATATAGTACATGAATACTTAAATGATGAAATGATTAATATTTCAGAAAATTTGTGATTATTCATAATTAATCAAAGGAATTACTGAGAGCCAAAAATATTATCAACCCTTACTTTTTAGTCAGTTTAACTTTTATTTTTTATGAAAATAAATAAATTATCTTTCGACGGGGGAAACAATATTTGTTAATTGTTGTATATTTAAAAATGAAAGATAGTCAAATATGCCCTTATAGTATTTGAAACAATTATAAATACTACCCTTCATTTGACTATCGGTTCAATTATATCCTTATCATTATATTTTAACACTAATTTGCCTTTAATTTAAATAGAACACATGTCGATTTCATAATCAAATAATTTGTCTCTAATTTTAAATATCGAATTCAACCCACTCGATTTTATCAAACTTCAATTCGATTCTTTAATTTTTTTATTTTTAAAAAGTGTGCATCGAACACCAAAATAAACTAATTTGATTTGATTTGATTTAGTTCGATATAATCTAAAACAATTTTTCGTGCTACATAGTATTTTGTTCAATGGGAAGCACTTCCTATCAATGATGATTTTTTCATATTCAAAGCTTGAACCCGAAAATTCTGATTAAAAAGAAAATAACACCATCTACTGCACCACATCCTTTGATGGTAGCTGCTAAAGTTTTATTATTTCACTTGAAGTTAAAGACAAATTTATTTTTAGTTTCCCACCTGGTCTAGTGTCAGATCATATTGAAGAATAAAACACTCTTTAACAAAGGTGATTTCGTACCGAGGTTAAGTTGTACTATCTAGTCATTAGACTGATAAAGTTGGAAAATAGTCATTTTTTTCACTTTCTTCAAAATCCTTAGCTGCTTGAAATAAGATGAGAATGCTTCAACCAGAGCTTAAATCTTTATGATTTTCAGGTTGTAACATGTACAACAATATTCCACCAGCAATTGAAACGTTAAGAGACTCGAATTCTCCGGTCATCGGAATACTCACAAGCTCACTTGAATCCTTAGCTCTCTCAGAAAGGCCGCCTCCTTCGCTGCCCAAAACCAAACATAGAGGCTTATCTGCTAACGAATCTGTAAAGTCGCGGGTGAGCCTGGAAATTCTCCTTGGCTTTTGATCGTTAGCAGGATGAGCGGCCAGAATTTTCATGTTATAATGGTTTCTAAGAGCATCCAAGTGGAGCCAATCGCCGGAGACTAATGGGAGTTGAAAGGAAGCTCCTCGACTAGCTCTAAGCGCCTTCTCGTTGAATGGATCACAACAGCCAGGAAGCAGGAAGGCACCACCCTGCCAAAAGATTTGTTTTAGCATATTACAGTCAGGCATCTTTGTAACAACGTTGCTTGTCAGGATATTTTTTGGCTGCTATAGCGAAATGTTGTTATAGAAAACATACAATATAACATAACATGCAAAGTCGGTTTCAAAGAGAACATGGTAGTTATGGTGAAATGTTCAACTGACACAGTGGAGATGAGTTGAGATGTTTAGATGTGCATACTCAAAGTTGAAGCGCCTACTTGGTGTTTGAGAGTCTGTTTATGTATTATGTCATACGAAAAAGCAGTAACCACAATGAGAACATGAACGAACCAAAGAACTATAGATGCTGTACTAGAAACTAGAAAGTACTGACCAATGTGAGTATAGCTGAGAAATAAATGATAATATCGACGAAAATCAAAATTAAAACCATCTCCTTACCCATCCAAATGCCATCGCCGATCTAAGTAATGTGCCAAGATTACCAGGATCCTGCATCAGCCAGTAGTCATGAATTCAATGATTCCGATATGGTTCTTTAGCGCAATTTATGAATTTCAAAATTATTTTTCTTATGTGGTCTAAGTAAATTACCTGGATTCCATCAAGAACTAGAACTCGATGAGCATTCTTGAACCATGTACTGCAATCTTCTTCTAGGAATTCATCATCAACACTGTGAAATGTTGATGGAATTTTCATTAACGCAATCATTTCAATAGAATCAATCGACTGTAAACCAGAGAGTTTCTTCATCACTGTTGAGCTGATGCGGACAAGGCGAACTGATTGAAGATTTAGGTCTTCAGGTATATGAGCTTCATCAAGCACGAGTAAGCAGTCTAATGTAATAGGTCTCTCTTGTATTCTTTCTTGAAAACTATATATTTCCCTGAGAAAGGTCACATAGATCAGTTAAATCGGTCGAACTTTTACGGGAAGATGTTTACCTAATCAAAGATCAAACTGTCAAATGACAAACTAAAAAGAATTTCTCGAGCCACGTTGCTCAAAATTTCAAATAAGCAGATTGAAGAACACAACGACAACAACAACAAACCCATTATAATCCCACAAGTAGGGTCTAGGGAGGGTCATGTGTACGCCGACCTATCCCTACCTTGAAAAGCTAGATAGGTTGGTTTCGATAGACCCTCGGCTCAAAACACGGCTCAAAACAGATGAAAAAGACGACAGTAGCAGCAAGTAGGAATAACAAGAAGAAAATACAATAATGGAGACTAATACTAATACTCCGGGAATGGGAAAGCAAAACACTCAACTACCTACTAACCTTCTATCATAATGCTCGATCTCCACACCCTCCTATCAAGGGTCATATCCTCAGAGAGTTGAAGTTGCGCTATGTCTTGCCTACATACTTATTAGGCCCACCTTTACCCCTCCTCAAGCCCTCTACGACCAACTTCAAGGAAGAATGAGTAAAGAATATGAACAAGTGCAAAAAATAACAAACCAACAGTTCACAAGGGAGTGCATAAGAAAGGACATAGCTCGGAAGAAAATACTCAGCAGAAAATCACCACATTTATAGATCATAAAAGATGAAAATGAGCTTCTTAAACTAAAACAACAGAGCTTAGGCCATTCCAAATATACATGTATGAAGTTGTCCCTTCAAGATTCAATGCTGTCCACGTCCTCTGATTTCTCCCGTTGATATATAGTCCATCATAGGCATTCAATTGGAAACATGAAAAGCACAATGCAAATCATGATTTCTCCCAAAAAGTTAAGTATTTTAAGATCAATTACTCTCTTTTCTTGCTACATCACTACTCATTTCAATCACCTGTTCTATTACTTGCTCAAGTATTTCGAGATCATGCTACGTGTCAAATAGCCCCTACGGAACTAAGTACAATCTACACTGTGCTCCTCCAATTTGCAAGAATTCCGCGTGTAACTATCCCAAAGGGGAATGGAATAATCTTCTAAGTTGTAACTCAACATTAAGCCAAATGGCTTCAAAATCTAACAATTTAGCATTAAAATGTGAGGCTCAAGCTAAACTATTAAGCTAACCACAATCAACAAAGACTACAGCCATCAAGTTAAGAACATGAAATGGCTAAATTATACCATAAAGCACACGGAAAAAGTAAATACACGAAAAAGTCAAAAAGGTCATTCAGTATCTACTATATATACATAAGAACCGACAACAATTACAGAACCATGAGAATGGCGATAAGAGGAGTTCTGGCGAAGCTTAAGGCAGTGTTTGACAAAAGGGTTTGAAGTACTAGTGATGGATTTCACATTAAAGGGCAAAAAAGATTCAATTTTTTCAGTTGGGAAATCTGGTTTTGAGCTAATTGGTTGAATTTTGGTTTTGGGTTCCAAAATTGAAGCTTTAATTTGTGGGAAATAGGTAGGAGAAATCCAACAACTGTTCATTGTTAATGGAAATTTGAATTCTTGATTTTCAGTTCTTCATGGGTAGCCCTCTCACAATATCTAAAAGGATGTTCCTTTTTTTCATATTATTCTTTTTGGTCCAAAACTCCGAGGTAGTGACGTAGAAAGTCTACTCTAATAATACTACGAGTATTAATGGATGCTTCCGTGACTCAACTCTGTAAACTATAGATTGAACAAAGACAATTTTTGTAGATAACACAAATTTTCACTATTTTTTGTTTTTTTATTTGTAATTAATGAAATATTTAGAATATGGTCGAAATTGCTCTTAAATTATTCGTTTTTAATAAGGTGTTGTAATTTATGCAACCTTGCGTTACAAGAGTTTTTAAATGGAAAATGTTATAGTTCATGAATAATAACAATACTCCATAATTTAAATATTAAACTTAATAAAAGCCTTGATAGTTTAGGAGAATTTTAAGGTATTAACTCAAAAAATGGCAGCAAAATGTAAATGAAGAGCTTGATATAACAATTCTTCTTGTTTAAGGGTTACAAGTAGAGTTCTTTTTTAGTACTTTCACAACTATGTTTCTTTCTAACAACTCAAAAGACGAGATAGTTCAATGCACTAAGCTCTCACTATATGCAAGGTTTGGGGAAGGCCGGAACAAAGTGTATTTCCCAAAAATAGCTTAAAGTCCTCTTCTCTTTCTGATGATCAGTAATATCTTCCAGCAAACTCCATATGCTCATCTGGGGATTACTTCTCCGCGCTGCAAAACTTCAGACATTAACCCCTTCATTACAGACAATCCGCGAGGATTAAGACAGGTAAAAACCATAACCTACAAACCAATGTTCGTATAGAGGTTCATTGTTGTCTAAAGAACTAACTTAGAAGAGGATTAACAACGATACAACGTCATGTTTTAGGAGGATAAAGTTCCCAGAGAGCCACTGTTGTATCTTCAGATGCAGAGGCCAATAATCTGCTATCAGCAGAGAATGAAACAGCGTTGCACTGCAGAAACATATTGTGAGAGAGGACATGAAAATGGTATGAAGTCAGTTTGACAATTGTTTAAGGGAAAACAACAGTCAACAGAAAGAAAAAGGGAATTGCATACCTCATCAAAGATCAAATCGTCAAATGACAAACCAAAAAGAATTGTATAATCCCAAAAGTGGGGTCTAGGGAGGGTCATGTGTACGCCGACCTATCCCTACCTTGAAAAGCTAGATAGGTTGGTTTCGATAGACCCTTGGCTCAAAACAGATGAAAAAAACGACAGTAGCAGCAAGTAGGAACAATAAGAAGAAAATACAATAATGGAGACTAATACTAATACTCCGGGAACGGGAAAGCAAAGCACTCAACTACCTACTAACCTTCTATCATAATGCTCGATCTCCACACCCTCCTATCAAAGATCATATCCTCGGTGAGTTGAAGCTGCGCTATGTCTTGCCTACATACATCTTAGGCCTACCTTTACCCCTCCTCAAACCCTCTACGACCAACCTCAAGGAAGAATGAGTAAAGAATATGAACAAGTGCAAAAAATAACAAACCAACAGTTCACAAGGGAGTGCATAAGAAAGGACATAGCTCGGAAGAAAATACTCAGCAGAAAATCACCACATTTATAGATCATAAAAGATGAAAATGAAAATGAGCTTCTTAAACTAAAACAACAGAGCTTAGGCCATTCCAAATGTACACATATGAAGTTGTCCCTTCAAGATTCAATATTGTCCGCGTCTTCTGATTTCTCCCGTTGATATATAGTCCATTATAGACATTCAATTGGAAACATGAAAAGCACAATGCAAATCATGATTTCTCCCAAAAAGTTAAGTATTTTAAGATCAATTACTCCGTCTTTTCTCACTACATCACTACTCATTTCAATCATCTGTTCTATTACTTGCTCAAGTATTTCAAGATTATGCAATGTATCAAAGAAAAAAACTGAGCCCCTACGGACCTAAGTATGATCTACACTGTGCTCCACCAATTTGCAAGAATTCCGCGTGTTAATATCCCAAAGGGGAATGGAATAATCTTCTAAGTTGTAACTCAACATTAAGCCAAATGGCTTCAAAATCTAACAATTTGGCATTAAAATGTGAGGCTCAAGCTAAACTATTAAGCTAACCACAATCAACAAAGACTACAGCCACCAAGTTAAGAACATGAAATGGCTAAATTATACCACAAAACACACGGAAAAAGTAAATACACGAAAAAATCAAAGGTCATTCAGTATCTACTATATATACATAAAAAATAATTTTAACAATATAATCCCGCAGAGGGGTTTGGCTTCCGCCCCTCCCCCTCCCCCCACCCCACCCACAAAAGGGTTTGAAGTACTAGTGATGGATTTCACATTAAAGGGCAAAAAAGATTCAATTTTTTCAGTTGGGAAATCTGATTTTGAGCTAATTGGTTGAATTTTGGTTCTGGGTTCCAAAATTGAAGCTTTAATTTGTGGGAAATAGGAAGGAGAAATCCAACAAATGTTCATTGTTAATGGAAATTTGAATTCTTGATTTTCAGTTCTTCATGGGTAGCCCTCTCACAATATCTAAAAGGATGTTCCTTTTTTTCATTTTTTTTTTTTGGTCCAAAACTCGGACGGAGTGACGTAGAAAGTCTACTCTAATAATACGAGTACTAATGGATGCTTCCGTGACTCAACTATGTAAACTATAGATTATACAAAGATAATTTTTGTAGATAACACAAATTTTCACCAGTTTTAGTTTTTTTAAATTTGTAAATTAAAATTTAGAATATGATCAAAATTGCTCTTAAATTATTCGTTTTTAATAAGGTGTTGTAATTTATGGAACATTGCATTACAAGAGTTTTTAGATGGAAAATGTTAATAGTTCATGAATAATAACAATACTCCATAATTTAAATATTAAACTTAATAAAAGCCTTGATAGTTTAGGAGAATTTTAAGGTATTAACTCAAAAAATGGCAGCAAAATGTAAATGAAGAGCTTGATATAACAATTCTTCTTGTTTAAGGGTTACAAGTAGAGTTCTTTTTTAGTACTTTCACAACTATGTTTCTTTCTAACAACTTGAAAAGCGAGATAGTTCAATGCACTAAGCTCTCGCTATATGCAGGGTCTGGGGAAAGGCCGGAACAAAGTGTATTTCCCAAAAATAGCTTAAAGTCCTCCTCTCTTTCTGATGATCAGTAATATCTTCCAGCAAACTCCATATGCTCATCTGGGGATAACTTCTCCCCACTGTAAAACTTCAGACATTAACCCCTTCATTACAAACAATCCACGGGGATTAACAACGATACAATGTCATGTTCTAGGAGGATAAAGTTCCCAGAGAGCCACTGTTGTATCTTCAGATGCAGAGGCCAATAATTTGTTATCAGCAGAGAATGAAACGGCGTTGCACTGCAGAAACATATTGTGAGAGAGGATATGAAAATGGTATGAAGTCAGTTTGACAATTGTTTAAGGGAAAACAACAGTCAACAGAAAGAAAAAGGGAATTGCATACCGTGGCGTTATGATATTTCAAAATAGCCAGAGGCTTTCCTTTGCGATAATTGTAAATCCTAACCCTGACAACGAAAGATAAGTGGAAGAGCTAATGTTAGAGTGACAATTGAAAACATGACCTACATGTTAAAAAATGTTTCTCTCATTGACAAAGGGTGTGCAACTACACCCTAAGTAGCCACAATGTACACAAATTGACAGTTTAAAAGTCTCTAAGATCCCTACCGTTGATCCCAACCAGCAGTTGCAGCGATTTTTCCATCTGGACGGATTGAGGTTCCAGAGATGCCAGGTCTCTCCAATACAATTTCTTTTCTTATCAAACAAGAACCCTAGTTTACAGAAAAAAGTAGGAAAGTTACGTTTACCAGATAATAGACCTGCAAATAAATAATGCCACTAGTTGCAAGTTCCACAACTAATAACTATTAATAGCTGCAATCTGCAGAAGTATATTTACTCAAGTGTGGACAATGTTTTTCATTGGTTTGACAGTGTATTGCTGCAACAGAAAACTACACATATTCACAGATTAAACAAAATATCACAAAAGATGACCAACTTGTCAATGTATGTGGATAATGAGGTTCAAACATCAGAACCAAATTTTCCTCACAGCATTAAGGCATGCACATTTCAAATCAGTCATCAACCAAGACATTTAGTAATAGTTTCTTGCTATAAGAGGAGTTAACGTGAAAATATATACACATCAACAGCACCATCCAACAATAGCATATCTTGCAATTTGAGATTACGTTGGAGTTACCATAGAATGGTCCAATGCAAACATCAAAATTTTCTCATCAGCAGCTCCAGAGAGACCACCTTTGCATTCTCCATCTATGCATAAGCTTAAAACTGCAGGGAGAAGACAAGATGACTTTTATGCCTGTTGTAAGTATGAAAATAGAACTAGAAAAGGTTCATTATGAAGCATTTTATGTATGGTAGAATAGTGTGCCTGGTTCTGAATGAAGCTTGACTGCAGTCAATGGGGCTCCGGGATTACGCAAGTCCCACCAAGCAATGGATCCATCCTCATACCTGTAGGCATATGTATTTGAATCTAGTTTGTTAAGTCAAGCACCAATTGATTAAATACAAGTAAATCATTTTTTAACAGAAATTCTATCGAAGAAAGAATCCTAGATTGAACGTTGGTGGTATACAATGTGGTAACGGACACCCCAAGACACAAAATTTAAAATGCTCTACTGTACTTTAGAAATCTTTTCTGCAGTTATATCTAGAGGAAGTAAACATTCAGGGAATTTCGACAATGTTGAAAATTACTCCTTATACACACACAAATGCAAATAAACGTATACAAGGAAGCATGGACATATGAATATGAATGTAAAGACACATAGAAAAGAAAATATAAATTGGATTACTATTGGAGATATGAGGACAAACCCTGCCATAACACTTAGGTGCCCCTGAGATTCAGAAGGTAAGAACGCTTGAACTGCCATGCACATCCCTGGGGTTATGTACTTTATGAGAAAATGCAAACAGAAATTTTAAATCAAATTAAAAGGAGAAACAACAGTGAGTATCCTGAGAGAGAGAGAAACCCAAGCAGATGACAAAATTTTAGATGCAGATACCAAAGTATGTGCTACAAGCTAGGGGAAGAAAACTCGAAAAGAGAAAAAAAACAGACCTCTTTGGTTCGGAGTCTGATTTGAGAGGCTACCAGAGCTATGAGGCAGCTCTACAATTCTTTCTGCAGTATTGACATCCCAAATCTCAACCTTTGCACACGGATTGGTTAGTGTTCAGTAAATTCCATACGACAAACTCAAAATAAAAGATAATGTATCAGAAATAACCATCAACCAACCACAGAAGATTGTTCCCCTGCTATAGCAACATATTTTGGTCCTTCACTAAGCTCCTTACCTGAAAACTTCAATATGTTAAACAGTCTTATGACTCAAAATACTATTAAAGCAATGAACACAACCAATCAATATCCAGGTACACAAAGAAGCATACTTTACTTGAGAACCACAGCAATATATAGGAACCGAATAGCATCAAAATTCCAAGCAACATATAAAAAACACTCAGCATCAAGTCTTTATACACAACAAAAACCACAACAAACTGATTTTCTCGAGTACATGATTCCATTTCTTGATATTAAGTCTTGATCTTATTTATAACATGTTGAGACTGAATAATATGGTATTGTAATCTGCCTGCAACTATCAGACCTAAGATTATTTCAAATTGGATGAGATCTTATAATAAACTTTTGAGGATTTTTTTTTTAAAAAAATTGTTTAGAGAAATATGACAGTGGTAATTAGCACATTTTACAGAAGAAAGTATTAGTCTATTCCTTAAGCAGAGGAGCCATGGCTTTCAAAATTGACTTGGAACTTTCACTAATAATATGTAAATCATACCCGAAACCTGACAGACAATTCTTCCAAGGTAAAGATGATCAATTTCTGCAATTTGCACCAAGGCTGTATTCAGTTTGTTCTCATTATTCAAACTCCAACATATTCAAATAAGATGTGGATGCTATAATATTAATATAAAATGCAAAACAGTTGACATTGATCTGATATTTTTCTTTAGGTTTAAATAAAACCTATATTGAGAGATATTGAAGTCAATTTGAATAGCCCTTTAATATATCATTCAGTTGACCAAAAATTTTAAAATCTGTAGTAATCTAGGTGAGTGCACATTCAAACTCAAATAAGTCAAATTTAAGTAGTAATGGACTGAGCTTAATTAAAAGAGAGGACTGAAAAGTGAAGAAAAGGCAAGAACGAGATAGAAAACCTTTGGATATGGTGGAATCAGTGGGTTGATCTCCTTGTTCTCCCCTTTGCATGTCATCAACAATTTTGTTTATCTCCAGATCATCAGTCTCCAATGCCTCACTTGGTGACTTTGCAATTGATAGTTTGCAGAAATGATAAGCGTTTGTCTTTATTGTAAGTAACGGTGTCCTGTTGAAAGCACAAATCACATTCCTAATCATAAGGTAAATGAAGATTGAACACCACCAAAGGGTAACGAAAGTCGAACTAACATGCCAGCAAATTGTAAGAAAACTTGTAAAAGAAAGTAAAGGAATGACTATCGAAAAGATAATGTTGCAAATATTAGTCCAGAAAAGTTGATAAACAAGATCCATTGCCCTTAGAACCCATTCCTTATAATGCAATTGTAATTATGATTTGACTGCCGTTATCATGAAATGAGTTAAGAGAGATCACACATATACATAGCATGCATAGTGCTGAAAAAGATTATTGAGCTCCAAAATGCAATGCATCAGTTCTCATACAATATGACGGCCTAGAAAACTTTGAAACCTGCAGCACTAGCCACATTTAAGTCTAACTTCACAAAAAATAGAATAAGTGAAAAGATATTGGACTTAAAAAGACAAATACAAAAAAGGAAGAAGAACTGTCCCCCATTCCTTATAATGCAATTGTAATTATGATTTGACTGCCGTTATCATGAAATGAGTTAAGAGAGATCACACATATACATAGCATGCATAGTGCTGAAAAAGATTATTGAGCTCCAAAATGCAATGCATCAGTTCTCATACAATATGACGGCCTAGAAAACTTTGAAACCTGCAGCACTAGCCACATTTAAGTCTAACTTCACAAAAAATAGAATAAGTGAAAAGATATTGGACTTAAAAAGACAAATACAAAAAAGGAAGAAGAACTGTCCCCCATTCCTTATAATGCAATTGTAATTATGATTTGACTGCCGTTATCATGAAATGAGTTAAGAGAGATCACACATATACATAGCATGCATAGTGCTGAAAAAGATTATTGAGCTCCAAAATGCAATGCATCAGTTCTCATACAATATGACGGCCTAGAAAACTTTGAAACCTGCAGCACTAGCCACATTTAAGTCTAACTTCACAAAAAATAGAATAAGTGAAACCCCCCCCCCCCCCCCCGACAAGAAACAAAGACGAAGCTGACCATGGTTGCCTCACAACATATATAGAACTCTAAATCTCTTAGTTTGCATGTACACTAATCATATAGGCATAATGATCTAGTTGCCAAATTTTGGGAGTTGTTCTTGGCTTCTTGCATTTCCTGCTGATTGATATTGATTATAAGTTATGCATTGCGAAACTGTTTCTGTTGATACTGTGAGATTACAATTCCATTTATTTCTATTCATCCATCAAGTTTCAAAGAATGTTAGATGGTTCTGTAGGATAAAATTTCAAACAGAAGTTGTAGGGGGTGGTACTGCCCAAACTTTCACATGCTCAGCCCCAAGGGGGAGAACAAGTCTAAACTCACTAAAGAGCAAAGGTGACTTGACTCGTCTTTCTTCAAGTCCACTACCCATAACATCTTGTTGTACCGTGATTTTTTCTTTCAGATCACAAGACATTTTCTGGATTTTAAATCAACTTTGCTATAATCAGAGGTAGAAGGTCCAATATTCTCGAGGGTTTAGTTTCTTGATACCACTCATATACCAATCTCTGCATAACTTTCTATAAATTAAATAAGATCATACTGCAGAAAATGTAGGATTTGTGACCAAGTTTGTGAGTCCATATATTTTCTCCAAACACCCAGAAGGAAGGCATATTGCTTTAACGTACAAGAAAAAAGAAAGGCACATTGCACTAAGAAGTGATGATAGTAAAAGGCTTGTGATCAACTTTGAACCAAGAATCCAGGGGGACAAATAAGCTGCCATGCATTATCACACCAAATAACTGGTTCATTTAAGCATCCCACAGAATTCCATCACACAATGTGCAAAAACAAATGAATCAAGACACAATCCCTGTAAAGTAACAAGCATAAATGAAATCCAACATGATTTCAATACTAAGGTATAATTTAAAACATATAGACCTGAATACCTGGACAAACCTCCTTCTCCAAACTCCCAACATTTGACGCTACCATCCCTGCCCTGGCTGTGGAAATTACAGAAGGCAAACCTTAAACAAAATTAACCCAACTATCTGTAATAGCAGATGGCACTAAAACATCTTCATTTCAAACTCAAAGGTGTGACAATACTACTACTGACTGAAATATCAAACAAATTAACAGCGATTATAAAGATAGAAACAGAGGCACCTGATAACTTTGTTATCCCCTAGAACAGGACTCGCTGCAACACAAATTACCCCATGTGCTGCACTATGCACCCTGCAGTTAGCAGTGATCGACTATTAAACCCCAACTGTGTTAGGATCCAAGAAGAAGTTCAGCATACAACAAGTACCCTCAATCCTAAATTAGTTATAGAGAAGCTTGTAATGCAACAACAGCTATCCGTCAAATCCCAAACTAGTTGAGGTCTGCTAAGAAACAATAAATATGCCAAGTTGGGGTTGCAAAAAATTTATAATACAACAGTTACTATACTTATCCCAAACTAGTCCAGGGGACTAATTAAGAAGATGTTCAAACTACATGATGAACATGGGGAGCCAGCCAAAATATTATAAATCATACCAACAACAACAACATTCCCAGTGTAGTCTTACAAAGTGGGGTCTAGGGAGGTAGAGAGTTTGTTTTTGATAGACCTCGGCTCAAGGAAAAACAGTCCAAAGCAGTCCAGAAAAAGAACAAACGGAAGTAAAAGCATAATAAAGCATTCTGACAATAACTACGATAATCAAAGTACAAGAACCAGCAACAACAACATAACTAGTATAATCCCATAAGTGGGGTTTAGGTGTACCAAGAAGAGGCTGTTTCCGATAAACCCTCAGCTCGAGTAAGCATATCAAAAATCAAGTAGCATAATCTAAGCACAAGAAACTATTATAAATTATACCAAGAAGAAGAAACTGTACGGTGCTGTACTGTGTCCCAAATCCGCAATTCTCCATCAGTTGACCTGCAATATAACCATATTATATGTACCCAATCAGTATGCCCTACGTCAACTTAATATCTGTTTGACCATGAAATTTGATCACATGCTTCCCAAAAACTGGCTTTTGAGACTTTCAGACACAAAGCTTCAATTTTTTTCCGAGTAAAATGCATGTCCAAACATAACTTCAAAATTTCCAATAATTACAACTTCAAAAATTCAATTTTTTAAGTTTCAACTTCAAAATCTATGATCAAAACCGGAGCCGGAGCTCAGACCAGTTTTGGGATTTTGGGACTTCCACTCACAACGTTCCAATCTTTTTCCAATAATAACGCATATTCGAGCACAACGTTTTAAATTTCAAAAGTTACAACTTCAATAACTCAATTTTTCAAGTTTCGACTTCAAAATCTATGATCAAACGTGAGCTTAGAATGTCGTAAATAACTGGAGAAGTTCGTTCATACCCAGAAAACAATATGGTTTTAGAAGGATGAAAACAAATGTCAGCTACCGAAGCGCGGTGACCTCGTAGCACTGAGACTGGGTCTGGCGATGGTCTTCTGTTCATTCCTTGTTCTGCCATTGGAGCATTATGTCAAACACTTTGCCTGCTTTTTATTTTTTAACCTTTTTTCTATTTTTTTTTATATATAAATGAAATAATCTCTTTAATTGTATTTCGAACGACTTATTTATTTTCATTGAGATTAAAATGTTTTATATTATAATATTAATATTTAAATGCCGAATAATTATGACGGTTTGTTTTTTTAACACATAAATGTGTACATTTTTCCTTTATTTAAAAACTAATAAATATTAAAGTATTGTAATATCATATATCAATGAAATATTATAAATTTTTAATGGTGGTTGTGAATGTCGATTGGGATATTGAAAGTGGTTAGTGGTTGTGATTGGCAATAGATATTGATGACCATCTTCGATAGTAAGTTGATAATTGTGGTGGACGATAGTGATAGTTGATGGTAGTGATTAATATTGATGGTGATTAGACTATAAATAACATTGTGATTATCAAAAGTGATTGATGATTGTGGTGGATGATAGTGATTAATATTGATGGTGATTAGACTGTAAATAACATCGTGATTATCAAAAGTGATTGATGATTATGATCGTAAATGGTGATTAGAGATAGTAATAACAACTTATAGTGATTGACAATGATAATGATTGTGGTTGATGATAATGACAATAGCTACTTAGAAGGTGATCTCATTAGTCCTAGGTATTCTTTTTGTGTACATATTCTTTGTTATTTGGCTAACTCGTTTAAGTGTTCTCCTTTGTCTCATTATTTATCTCGTAACTATTTGCCCCAAAAGCTATCTCCTCCTCCTTTTCCTTTAGAATAGGATTCTCCTTGATCCTTTCTACATATCATTCTCGGTCGCCCAAAAAGACTAGCTATCTTTCTCTTTATACGCAATATCTTGAAGATTGATAGTTTCATGGTATGAAATGCCATATCAATATAATTTTAGAGCTATTACCAAAAAAATTATGTATGACTTCTAAATAACATTCAATCTTGGTCAAACAAAATCATCCAACAAAATCTTGGTATGATTTTGTTTTAGATTAAATCCCCAAAAATTACAATACTTAATCAAATCTAATATTTTCATTTTAAAGTTCCCAAACATAAAAAGTTTGAAATAGAAAATATGATTATAACTCCAATAAAAATTTGACAAATTGATCCAATTTACTAGTGACATTAGTTTCATAAGAATAGAATTCCTTCACTCTAATCAAATGTTTCAAGTTCAAGCCTCAAGAACAAAAAAAAAACCTTAGCGGAAACATTTTTCACTTTATTGAATCTTACGTAATGTAAAACCTGATTAGTCGAGGTCATAATACACGTACCGTATAGTTGATGTAAAACCGGCGTTGTTACAACATTCAAGCCCAAAATCAAATCACTTGGACTTACCCGGCCCAATTCAGATAGGCCCAAAATTGACCCAACAACTTCAAAAGTAACGGTAATCATCTTCTTCTCCTTTTTTGAACGGTCACAAGATTGAAATTTTGAATCAAACATTTCCGCCATTGAAGAAACCTTTTAAGTTTTTTTTTTCAAGATTCTCGGATTTTCAGACACCTATTACAATTTTCTCTCATGGATGACATTCAATTTAACCCTTTTGAGCAAAACCCAGAAACCCCTTTTCCAGATTTACCCAGTAATTTTGAATGGGAAGAAAAACCCTTGCATCAAGAAACTGCAGTTTCTGCCATTGACCAAGATGAAAATTTTCAATTTTTAGCCGATTCGATGGTCTGTGACTCGGGTTCAAGACTAATCCCAAGTGGGTTTACTAGATCCAGCTGTACAGGTTCGAAAAAATCATTAATCTCTTCGATTTTCTTAATTGTTTGTATAATGGGATCTTCCTATATGTAAAATTACTTGTTTCACAGGAAAGTGGAGATTTTGAGTTCATTTTTTTGTTAAATAGACTTGTAATTTAATATCTATATGTTAAAAGACTTTTTTTTTTAAAAGTAACATTTCTGAATTGCTTTACTTGAGTGGAGGGTGTAGGAAACAGTAGGGGTAAGGTCTGCGTACACACCATCCTCCTCAGATCCCACTCGTGGGATTACAGTGAGTATGTTGTTGTTGTTGTTGTACCATTTCTGAATTGTTGTGAGATGAGTATCAGTACTTGGTCCAGGGATGAAATACACTAAACTTTTGCTGAAAAATGAACTTTTCCATATCGTATACGGTTTTATACAGATTACATTTACCTAATTTGTTGATTTGGACCTCAAAACTGCAGGTCCAAATTACAAATCTATGACTGATAAGTTCATATATTGTAGCACTATTTTGTTGTAGTTACTGTTCCTTTTTTAGAATGCTTTGTCATGCTTAGTATTTTACCATTATCTCTTTACTTCCGTTATTTCTTTTTCGATTTGTTTTGATATGCTTTTCCAAAGCTGAGGGTCTATCAAAAAACCCCTCTATACCTCCCAAGGTAGAGGTAGAGGTGTAAGGTGTGCGTGAAATCTACCCTTCCCAAACCTCACTTGTGGGATTACATTGGATATGTTGTTTTTGTAAGAATGTGGAAAAAAAGATAAATTTTGCTCCTTTGTTGGATGAAACCTATTCTTCAGAAGGAAACTGAATTTTCTATATGATGTTGGGATTATGACTCGATATAGGTTAATCATCTGTATGTTTCAGAAAACAAACCAAAGGGGATATTATATATTGTTATGAAATAATTTCATGTATTATTCACATTGTTTTATCCTCTTAGTCCTTCTCTTCTCTTCACCTTTTATCTTTTGAGGCTACTTTAGTTAGACTCATATATGCTTACATGGTTTGTTGAAATTAGAGGACCTTGTGCTTTTTGTTAATGCTGGATCGGAGACGTCAGTGGAGTTGGACTCCAGTCTGAGCTTTCTGGCTGACAATTTTTACCAAGGTGGAGAACCATTTCAAACGGAGGAGTTCATTACAGAGGGAGGTGAACATGCTTTCATTTACCAGTCAGCAAGATTAGGAAACTTCTGTTATCAGATTGACAATCTTACACCAGGAAATTACTTTATTGATCTTCATTTTGTCGAGATAATAAATGTAAATGGGCCTAAAGGAATGCGAGTGTTCAATGTCTTTCTACAAGATGAGAAGGTAAGTTGATTTGAGCATTAAAAGAGTTAGCTTTTGGTGCTTATATGTTGAAATTTGGAATTGAGAAGTTGTAACAATATGCAGGTTCTGTCTGATTTTGACATCTTCTCTGTTGTTGGAGCCAATAAACCGCTACAATTTGTTGACTCAAGGGTTTCCATCAAAGAGAATGGGATACTTTTGATAAAATTTGAAGGAATTATTGGCAGTCCCGTGGTTAGTGGAATTTGCATAAGAAAAGCTCCAAAAGCATCAGGTATTTTTCCTATTTGCCTCTAACTATTTGAGTATTTTGTTGAGTGGGATTAGAAGGGTTGAGGAAGAACTAATTTTATGTAGCTCTCTTTGACTGAACTGCAGCTTCTCAAGCAGAACATGATCGTCTTACATGCAAAAACTGTGCAACCGAGATAGATTTTCCATCAGCACAGGTATGACATAATAGGTGCTGAAAACCTTCACCAGTAAGGATGTGTTTTGGTATGGAAAACATTTTCCATAAATTATTTTCCTCCATACCATACACATCCTAAGACTAATGAAATTTTAATGTCTATTTCTTGATCGCTTGGATAAATGCAGAAAAAAGTGGCACGATTGCAGTCAACAGCCAAGTATGAGAATAAGATACAGGAGCTTGGTGAATTGTTGAAGCGCAAGACAGATGAATGTTATCAATCTTGGATGTCTTATACTGCAGCTAACCAGCAACTAGAGAAGGTTAGGATGGAGCTGGACAATAAGACATTTCATACCTACTCACTTGGTAAGAGATATGAAAATAACATCTATTTCTGAGAACCATTTCAAGGCTTCTCTTGTAGATCTTGAAAATATTACCAGAATATTTATGCTGCCGTTTGAAGTGGTGGAACAAAACATTCTTTAAATGTCAATATAAATGGCCTTTATAGCCTTCCAGAAAGAGTAGTTTTGTCTAGCCATGTCTACTTCCTACATTAAGATCATTTCTCATTTTACATATATCTGGTCTTTAATACTTCTTAGTTAGATTTCCTGTTTGGTGTGTTATAGAATCTTAAAGAATCATTCCTACCTTCTCTTTGTACCAAAGAATGAGTGAAGTTCAAGGTAACCTTCAACGTTAACTAGTGATGGTAGAAAATGGAAGTACAAAAGGCCTTTTGCATGCCAATTTCCATAGATGTGATAATGGAGAAACTACTAATTTGAGTTTGCTATCTGATTTTAGTGCACAGAGTCCAGTTATAGGTGGTTAGGGGGAGCTATTCTTTACTTTATTGGTGAGTTTATGACATTATCTTTAGTTTTTGAAGAATAATTTTAAGCAATGTTAACCTTTAACAGATCAGAAATTCGAGGAGCAAGCTAAGACTATTACAGAAATCTCAACCAAGTACGAGCGCGACAAGAACTATTGGCACATGGCAATCAATGATCTCGAGATGAAAGTAAAGGTACTTCTGAAATTCATCATGAAAATACAGTGATAACTTTGTACTTTCTTAGAGTTTATCAATGTATTCTCAAAGTAAATGCATATTTAATATTCTGGAAGAAATCATGCAGATAATGAAGCAGGAGCACTCCCAGCTCTCTCGCGATGCGCACGAGTGTACAGACTCAATCCCTGATCTGAATAAAATGGTCTCGGCAGTTCAGTCACTGGGTTAGTTTTGGATTATTCTTAAATCGCATAACTTGACACTGATCACGAACTGAACGAATCACTTTTTATGATCTGCAGTTGAGCAATATGAAGATCTTAAGATGAAGTACAACGACGAGCAAGCTAAGAGAAGAAAGCTCTTCAATGAAGTTCAAGAGGCAAAAGGTGCAATGTTTTTTCCATTAAACATTTCATTGAATCATTGATGGAAGTAAATAGAATCATACTTCCTTTTTGTTAACTTACTCATGGTAAGCCACCTTTTCCAGGGAATATCAGAGTATTTTGCCGCTGCCGTCCATTAAGCAAAGCTGAAGTCTCAGATGGATGCTCAACGGTCATAGACTTTGATGTCGCCAAGGATGGAGAACTTGGAATCTTAAATGGCAGCTCCACGAAAAAGACATTTAAATTTGACCGTGTCTACACACCCAGAGATGATCAAGGTGTTCCCCTATACAAGATTGAGAAGAACAAATAGTAGAAAAGGTGTTCTCCTTCTAATAGTATCATTGTCTTTTTAACAGGTGATGTCTATGCCGATGCTTCACCAATGGTCATTTCAGTTTTAGATGGTTACAACGTATGTATCTTTGCTTATGGACAAACGGGAACGGGAAAAACGTTCACCATGGAGGGTACAAAAGGAAACAGAGGAGTCAACTATCGGACTCTTGAAGAATTGTTTAAAATTGCGAAGGAGAGGAATGAAACTTTCACCTATGACATATCAGTCAGTGTGCTTGAAGTCTACAATGAACAGATCAGGGACCTATTAGCTCCACCGACAACATCAAAAAAGTAAAGTTCTTTATTATATAGGAGCCTGTAGCTTATGTGCTATAAATGAAATGTTGTTATGCTTGACACCATAAAATTTCTGCTCTCTCTAATTAATTCAACTTTTATTTTGTGGAATCATTTTAGGTTGGAGATAAAACAAGCTCCGGAAGGGCTTCATCACATTCCAGGACTTGTGGAAGCCAAAGTAGAAAATATAGAAGAAGTCTGGAATGTGCTGCAGACTGGAAGTAGTGCACGGGCTGTTGGATCCAACAATGTGAATGAGCACAGTAGCCGTTCTCACTGGTAAGATAGATTGAGTTTCTAATTGGCCTCTTATTGCATTTTCACTGATTTGCTTTTACCAACTGACTAATTTTTTTTTGGTTAATCTTGTCCACTTTTTTTCAGCATGCTTTGTATTATGGTAACAGCCAAGAACTTGATCGACGGTGAATGCACAAAGAGCAAGCTTTGGCTTGTGGATTTAGCTGGTAGTGAGAGGCTTGCGAAGACTGATGTCCAAGGTGAGAGACTGAAGGAAGCTCAAAATATCAATAGGTCACTTTCCGCTCTAGGAGATGTGATATCAGCTTTAGCAAATAGAAGCAGCCATATTCCATACAGGTAACAATGTGATCTTGGCTGTATGTAGGTTTCCGTTGGGCCATTGAATATGCATCCTGACATTTTATCTTTTTCACCAGAAACTCCAAGTTGACACATCTACTCCAAGATTCATTAGGTAATCAAATAGTTCGAAGTCTGGTTTCCAAAAACACCATAGTGTTCAAAGCTGTAAGATTCCTGATTTTCAAAGTTCACCGTCTTCCCTGCAGGTGGGGATTCAAAAGCATTGATGTTTGTACAGATCAGCCCGTCTGATAAGGACTTAAGTGAAACTATAAGTTCATTGAACTTTGCTACAAGAGTTAGAGGAGTTGAGTTAGGTCCTGTAAGAAAACAAGTTGATACCGGCGAGATCCAAAAGTTGAAAACCATGGTTTGTAGAATGTTTTCCTAGTGTTGTTTTTTGTTCATATGCCTATGAGAATTCTTTGTACAGAATTCTACTCAACCAGTTACAATAATCCTCATCTCCTTTTTTGGTTGGCAGCTTGACAGAGCGAAGCAGGAAACTAAATCTAAAGACGAATCCTTGAAGAAACTTGAGGAAAGCCTACAGAACTTAGAGAGTAAGGCTAAAGGGAAGGAACATGTTAACAAAACTCAACAGGATAAGATTAAGGAACTGGAAAGCCAGCTCAATTTAAAGACATCATTACATGGCCAATCGGAAAAACAACTTTCACAGCTTTCAGAGAGGTTGAAGGGACGTGAAGAAACTTGTGCTACTCTTCAACAGAAGGTTCCCTTTAATCAAAATCAAATTCAGCTTAGTTACAGATGTTGATTGAGCTTTGTTCTATGATCTATTTTTAATATCCTAATGTTTTGCTTATCGTTCTGATTTCACTTTTGTATTGATTAAAGATCTCAGAGCTAGAGAACAAGATGAGACAGCAGCAGCAATTTGAGTCTGAAAGCTTCAACAATAAGGTTCTTCCCATTGTCTGTTTCAGTATAGAGAATTCTCAACAGGCACATTGGATATTCACAAGTTTATTTGTTATATGCACATAAAATCAGGTCAAGGATCTCGAGGACAAGCTAAAAGAGCGAGAGCACGAGTTTGTGTCTCAGTCTGACATCCTTCAACATAAGGTTCTTATTCTTCAAGCATATTACTATTGAAATGTGTGACCATTTCATCTAAAAGTTTTTAAGCTGTTAGAGAGAGCACACTTTTATTATTCAATTGTTTTCTCAACAATTACCAACTTGAAGGTTCCCGTAGAAATTAGCAAGAATCTAAAATTCTTGTTTTTTTTCAGGTTGAAGAGCTTGAGGAAACGCTGAAAGCAAAAGAACAGAACGCACAGGAGTGCATTCTACTCCGTCAGAAGGTTTGTTGCTTTCATCTTCTGTAATACTGACATTTCAAGAGTGAAATGTAACATATTTTTAAGTGTATTATGGACTTTGATTTCTCCCCCTACAAGCCGAGGTTCTATCGGTAACAACCTCTCTACATTCCCAAGGTAGGGGTAAGGTCTGCGTACACACTACCCTCACCAAACCCCACTTGTGGGATTGCTTGTATTTCTCCGCTATAAAACTCTTGGCAAAGCTTTGATGAAATGAAAAAAACGTTATGTACTCTTACACTTCCAGATTAAGGAACTTGAAGACAAGATCAAGGAGCAAGAACAACAGTTAGCATGCATGGTTGCAGATTCTGATGCCACCAAGTCTTCAAGATCAAGCCCACTTGAAAGCAGCAAATGTTCTAGCAGAGACGATTTAACAAGTGACATTGAGCAACGTATTTTGAAGAGCTCAAATGCTATCAACCGTCAGGCAAGTCAGGGGTCTAATTTGCTGAAGGGAAAGGACACAGTCCAACAAGTTAGGCGAAAGCGTTTGTCAACTAATAGTGAAGCAGAGAACAACGGTGTGTTGCCAACTTCGATACATGACAGGACTGAACAGGATTACCTTCAAGAGGCCAGAAGGAAACGTTTGTCTAGAAATGGTGAAGTAGAGAAAAATGTTACTCCTGCCATATCAGCTAACGATAGAAGGACCAGGCAATCTGATCCCCCTAGACCAGTTACAAGAGGAATGAAGCCAACTACCACAACTGCCACCAATGCTCAAAGGCCATTGATTCGTAACAAAGCGAGCAGAGAGACCGTTCAGGCAGTTAAAGAGAGGGACGCCAAGAAAAGGATGTGGACAAGATAGTGAACATAAATGTTGGCCTCGACACCACGGTTATAAGCAACAAAAAAACAGTCAGCAGAAGCCAAAGAAGCCAACTTGCATTCTTGTTGTCTTCACAACTACATTTAACTTGACATTAGTATATGTTTTGATTGGTTTGTGGTGCATTTTTCTTAAATTGTTTGGTGCATTATGTATATGCCATTTTAAGTGCAGCTTGGTAGATTACTGTATCTGTATGTTTTATTAATCTACTTGCATATTGTATCTCATTTTTAAGATTGATATAAAAAGTGTATGATTGATCTAAAGTTGAATTATATCTGAAATTTGTGCTTGTTTTCACCCTGGATATTTTTCACATTTTTTGTCCTGGCAAACTGTTGGGACATAGAATTGTTACAATTTTCAGGAATTCAAATAACTCCAAAAGGCCGTTTCACAATTATTACTTTAAGTCACTCACAAAAATTCAAAAACAACTCTAATTTATATTAATGTCCAAATACAACTCAGTTTCTGATTATCTTATAAATTGAAGAACAAATTCTACATTTCTTCAAATTTCACAATTTTTATGTCCAGATGACCGCTAAAAATGAGTTCAATTCACTCAATTTTCTTTGATCAAAATTAGTTGAGAAATGAATTAATCTCAAAGATTCAAACTCAAATTTTGATTGGTTTTTCTTTCTTATTTCTTCTAGAGAAATCCAACAGGCAGCAAAAATTAGAATCAACCTATATAACATATATTTTTGTATAATCGACATTCAACAAAATTTCCCCGATCGCGTACCTCCTTGTATGAAATGTGTCTTATGATCTCTCGTTCTCCCACAAGCTTGTTTTTTATTAGGCATTTAGTCACTCATTTCGACAAATTTTACTAGTGAAATTATACTAGACATGTTATTATAAATACCCCGATGCAGAAAATGTAAAGTTAAATTAGTTAAAATCTCAATATAAATATCGAATAAAAAATAAAAAGATGACCAACTTGCCCTTAAAATATTTGGTTGGCCCCCCTGTGTGACTTCATCATAACCATGTGTAACTTTTTTATGGGACCTTAGAGTAAAGCACAAATTGCAATTATTTATGAGGCAACATACAAGCTATCGTAAGTCTCACGGCAACAATAATATTTAGAAATTGATCTACCATCGAGTCGAAGCAGAGTGATAAATAGTATTTCATCGTCTTTTATTAAAAAGCATCATGCTCTTAATATAAAATTTTAATCGAATCTCTATACAAATATCAATCACGTCTTTCTCGAAAAATGAAAAAAGTAAAATTCTAGATAATATAAAGTTGCTACTTTTAATACAATTAAATACCGATGTGGCCGGTGGCCAACCTAAAACACACTACGATAAAGTAAAAACTTGATATCGACCTACCATCTTAGGTACTGACACGTGTCTAATTTTTTAATTATTTTTTTTAATATAAAACTTTGTGTCCACAGATATAGTCTCTTTAAATTAAATTAATTGACAATATATTGTAATCCTAATTTTGTCTATCTTCTTTCTTCTTCTTGTAAGCTTTCCATTTACTTTCTCTTCTTCTTATTAATATTATATTATAAGGTTTTTATTTTGATCAGAAGAATTTGAGTTATCAAGAAGAATTATGGGTTATTTTTGGACTTTGATTTGTCATCTTCATACTATAGCCGGGTAAATTTTATTTTTATTTATTGAATTATTTGATTTTGCTATATAAACTTCATATCATCATATGCTTTACGATGTTTCAATTTATTTGGCTTATTTTGACTTAGTACGAAGTTTAAGAAAGTAAATATGACTTTTGAATCTTTAGTCATTAAGTTAAAAGGATGTATTGAAATGTCTGAAATATGTTAGGTGAAAAATTAAAATTGAGGAGTTGTTTAAAAAGGAAAGAATATATTTTTAAAAATAGACTAAAAAAGAGAGTGAAAAGTATTTAGTAGGAGTTTGTTTTACTAAATTAATCTTATTAGTTATGATTTTGGAACTCTCTTAATTTGCGAAAATCGACAAGTAAATGAAAATAGTATGTTTATGATTTGATTTGATACAGAGTTTAGAAAGTATTTTCTCTGTCTTAATTTATGTAAGACTGGATATAAATTTTAAGAAAGAAATATATTTGTGGAAATTTGTAAAATTATGTGTTTATAAATAATCTTATTAAGGTATAATATTTTGAGATATCTCTTTGTGATTTGTTTTAATTTTGAACTAAAATATTGCAGGCCAGTGACAATGTTGCTCTATCCTTTGTAAGTGTTTTAAATTATTATGTTTATACTGAGAATTAATTATTATTTTTCATTATAAATTATTTTTTTAGGATGATTTTTTTTTTAATTTGGTGATTTAATTTATTTGAATAGGTATGCTTCAGTAGTAGCAATTGAGACTAGTGACAAATTGGATGATGAACAATGGCTTGCTTATTGGATTTTTTATTCTTTTCTCACTCTTATGGAGATGGTCCTTCAACATGTTCTTGAATGGTAATTAACTTCTTAACTTCATGAAAAAATAAAATTTAAATATTGTTCTCCCGTCTCAATTTATGTGATACTTATTTTTTAGTCAGTTTGAAAAATTAATAATTTATATTTAGAATCAATTTACATTTAAACTTTTAATTTACTGTTAATAAAATGATTTATAGCCACTGCCCACTTGTTTCTTTATTACTTGGTGTAGACTTTACGTTGGGTGTGTTTGATCTTAAAAACAAGTGGATTTCTTACTCATTTTTAGTGTTTGACTAGCAAAACATTGTGGGGTAGGATGGGGTGGTGGGTGGTGGGGGCGTTGGGATGTGTGGAGGAGATAATAAACTTGAAATATCAGTACCTATGGAACTTGTTTTCCTACTTTGATTTGGGGAGTCAATTTTTCTTATTTTTAAAAAACTCGTTTGCCTAAAGAATATGTTTTTTAACCAATCAAACATAGGAAAGTTGAAAAATCAAAAAACGTTTTTCCTCCCCTTACCAAACACACCCTTCAAGCTTCAATAATCTGTCTTTCTATCTTAAACTTCATGCTAAGTCAAACATCATCACATAAATTGAGACGGAGGAAATAATAATTTTTTTGGTTGAGAAAAGTGATTCATCATTTTTTTTTTGTTATTTGGAAATATATTATAGGATACCAATATGGTATGATGTGAAGTTGATATTTGTGGCATGGTTAGTTTTTCCACAATTCAGAGGAGCTGCATTTATATATGATAAATTTGTAAGAGAAAAAATAATCAAGAGATATAGAGAATCATCATCATCATCACCACAACATAACAACAAGTCTCCTAAAGCCAAATCCAAGACTAAATTTGTGGACTTCATCACTCCCAAAAAGGTAACTTCATCAACCATTTATATTGTTTGTCTGATTTTAATTTGATACAAAATTTTAAAAAATAATGAAAAAAATTCATGAATTTAAATTTTTGTAAATTATTGCAAATGTTAAACGACTGTCTAATTTTATCGGTAAGGTGATTAATTAATATAGTCTACTATTCATAATTCAAGTTGTTTAGTTTATTTATTGATAACATATACTTATGTTGAACAGGGAGAGCATGAAGCTTACTGAAGAGTGACAAATCATGAAGATTAACTAGTTTTGTTAATTAACAATAAAAAAAAATATTGTAGAGTGTTATATTTGGCTTGTACATTTTAATATATGGTGTGCAATAATATTTGCTCCCACTTTGTAATTTTGGCACAGGGACCAAGTTTTATATTATATAAAACTCCACTTTTGATATTTGATAAGTTATATATGTGAATGTTGTCAATGCCAATGTTAATGGGATATATTTATAAAATTGTGTCCTTAAATTTGAATTGTGTTGTTCAAATTTGAATCGATACTCCGATATAATAATATAATAGAACTTATACAATCAATGAATCATGTTTAATTGCAAGATGTTAATTCTCGTTAATGTTGATATATATTATAGTCGTAGAAAAGCGAGAAAGAGAACGAGAAAGAAAAAGCATTAGAGGTTTAATTAATAGAATACATGTTATAAGGCACATAATTTAACATGATAGCATAGATCATATAAATTTTAAGTTTGAGTCTCAACGTCACTTATCATTAAAAAGAATTATATAAAACAAATGAAGTGTGCACTCTAATCTAGGTTATATTATCAAGAAAGATCATGGACTTGCAAAAAAAAAAAAACTTTGAAAATTAGCGATTTTGAAATTTTGACCTCAACTCACTCCATGAGAAAAATTAAAAAAATCGATCTTATAATTTTATCCATGGAATAAACGTGGTAAAAAATTCAAGATCACCCTCCATCCTCCGAGATTATTTGTATAAATCACCAAATAAACCTTAGATAAAAGGTAAATGAAAGGCCAACTACATGGGCCGAACAAGAGAAAATAAAGTAATATTTATAAAATAACCATTTATTTTATTTTATTTTCCTTGGCTACAAGTTATAGTTTTAACTCCAATAACCAATTTAAGGCCCCAAGCTCAACCCAACAAAATGTAGGCCACAAAAGCTCAAAACTTTGGTCTAATATGCGATCCTATTCTAATCAAAAGACTAAAGGCCCCTACTACAGATAGGTCATCAAACTATAACCAGAAAATAGTGATGTTCAAACTAATTAATATGCACGCACTTTAATAATCGTTACAAGAGAAAAACATACTCGTGTCAGACTCCTTTACTGCGATACATCACAAATTCAAACACTACAAGATTTTTATGATGAAAGAATAAAATTATACAAAACCGACAAATTCATAACAAAATTCATCCGCGTAGATGAACTCCGTTACCAATTTCATGACGATTTTTTCGGTGTGTTTTAGCTGGTACCCGTTGTCTTAGTCATGACGTCTATTACGGAGTATGGATCAAAAACAAGGATCGGTGGGACTTCTACATGTATTATTAGCTCAATGATAACGTAATAAAAGGACAAATGCATAAAATATACATACTAGATTAAAGCAAACAATAAGTGTTATGAACTTAAAATATGACATTACCCAATGTTTTTCTTAAAATCAACTCTCTAATCTTTTATATATTTCATATATGTTTACTTTATTGACCACTAAATGATATTTTTCGATATTAAAAGAATCTTTTTCGTGGAGCAACCCAAATCCAAATAACATTTTTTAAGTTTGTTTTCATATAATTAGAAAAGGTCCAAAAATTGTAATAATGGGATATTACATAGTGTTTTGTAATTTTGCAGAACTAACAAAAAATTTTTTGCACAAAGTGTCCAAATTAAATGACGTTATTCAATGCATTATTCTCGTTTTGGACACTAACCATTTTAGTAGCAAAAAAGAACAAAAAATGAAAGAAAACAAAATAAAATGATTATATACCAAGTACCAACCCATATTGTAGAAAACGTTTAATGAACAAATAATAGACTAGAAAAATAAAAAATTCTGTGGATGGTCCAATTTCTATTTGGTACGTTAAATAACAATAACGTATTCAGTGTAATCTCATCACTGAATTATAAGAAAGGTGATGTGACACAATTTTAAGAACCTCGATCAAGTGAAAAAGAATAATGCGACGAAAATACCATGTTGAAAATAATGAGAAAAAAAACCAATAGCAACTACATATAATATGATGATCCGATCAAAGAAAACAACATGTAATGATAGAATCGAAGATGGTGTGTCAATTGATTTTTCTTCAAATATATGGATTTTGAAGTGAATTTTTACAAAATTTTATTTAATGTTACACAAGTTATTAATCAGGCAGAACATGTAGGTGTTCCGATCCTGTAAAAAAAAAATTAAATATCCAAACTTGAAAGTATCTGATTAGTATTATAAATATATTCAGAAAGACCTAAAATTAAACTTTTAATTTTTATCATAAAATGTATATTTGTTTGTATTATAATTAGTTATTTCAGTCATAAAAATACCTTTTCCCATCCTTTTTTATGGATGCTTTTTAAAACTTTTAAAGTAATATTCCAGAATTTAATTTTACAAAGAATATATTTTTATTTGGTACAACCATCAAATATTTGATATCTACTGATTCGATTAATTAAAAGAGCAACGTCTGTACTAAGCTTTTTATATGAGCTTAGTACAACCATCAACACTAACCGTCTGTACTAAGCTCTCAGTATATGAGCGTCTAAAAAAAATCAAACCACAAGGATCTATTGTGTACACAATCTTACCATATATTTCTACAAGAAGTTGTTTCCAAATGTTTGAATCCACCGTGACTTCCAAATTACGTATAACAACAACTTTACCTGCTACACTAATTTTACAAACTACTTGACCTCTCTACTATTACTCGATCACCCTAACTGTCATATTACGATAGAAAAAAAAACTTATTTTTTTCTAAATTATTAAAAAAAAATAAAAAAATACCACTTATTTATCGTGAAGTTGAAAAGCACATTATAGTTTCTCTATCATATAATAATTCATGAATTTCACGCAGATTTCTAAATTGACATTTGTAGTTGTAGTTCTCTTCCAGAGTGTCTTTCACGTTATTCACACACCCCACCCCCTCATTTTTTATTTTTATGTTAACAAAAATATATATTATATTATCATGTATATAAAAAAAATATTTATACGATCAAAATATTAACTACCATGTTATCACTCATATTTTTTGTTATACTGATAGTATAGAAAAATATTTATTTGGTATTTACTCGTTATAACTCTATGATATCTAAATGTAGATTACTGATGCATAGTTATCGAGAACAAGATAAAGGTTTCGACAAATATTTTGAAACGAACTTTTGACCGTCTAGTGCAGGTCTATAATAGTAATTTGAAAAGAAAAAGTTTGTCCTAAAAAAAAGTAGAATATATGGAAATTCTAAAGTTCCTAAAAATATAGTTATATAAGCTATATTCTTACGTAAGTTTGTGAAGCTTTTTAAGGTGGTTAAGATTTTGTCTCAACTTGTTAATCTTTGCTTTTTGATGAAAGTGGAAATGTTCCATGAAGCTCAAAAAAGTTTATGTATGTGTCACTCTTAACATAAAACTTTTTTTTCTTTCAAAAAAATATTTTTTATTTTGAGTCGAGGATCGATCATTCGAAAATAATAACCTATTTAGTCATCTTAGACAAGATATAAGGCCAGATAATTAAGGTTTACATATATACATCTTACTTTCTCAAAATCGCTTGTAAAATCGAGTGATATATTATTGTAAAGTAAAACAAAATAAAAAATCCACAAAAGGACCATATGTACTCATATATATTACACACCATACTAATTAATTAAAAATCTCAATCGTTTGATAAAGAGTGTTTCCTTCTTTAATCATAACACACTTTGAATGGAATAAAAACGTTAGGTAGCTTCTTCTTTTTTCTTGGGAGATGGGGGGGTTAAACTAAAATGTGAGGGAAATATTATTTAATTAAGAGCTTCTTCGAAATTTTATTAGAAGGATAGTAGAGGATTAATCTTTTTGAATAAAATGATTAAAGTGAATCATTTTCTATAGAATTATTATAAAAAATTCATAAACTTCAAATACTATATTCAACTTCGAGAATGGGGCACATTACCCAAGTACATGAAAAGCTAGGGGAAAAAATAAACTTGTAAGAACCCCAAGTTCATAGATTCTTATGACCCTTTTAGTCAAAAATGTTGACAGTCTTATATATGCATTTACTACACTTTCAAGCCACCACTTTATCAGACACCAACAAATCACGGAATTTATTTATCTGATTTTGATTTGACAAAAAAAAGATTTTAAACTAAAAATACGTAAAATATCTTTAATTTTATAGTCTTAAACATGTCATACAAAAAGTTAAAAATTGTCATACATTCTTTCTGAACGACCTAAAAATAAAAGTAAGATAAACAAATCCAAACAAACAAATCGAAGTATGATAAAACCTCACATAATGTGTGTGTGTGAGAGAAAGAATTATATGGAGAATAGGGAACAATAAAGCTGCAGCTAGCAGTGTATACATAATACTATATAGGCTTGAAGTTAAACAATAGCAGGTTAGGCTCTGAAAGGACCTCAGTAACTGTTGTATTTCTATCACACATACTTATCTCTCCTATTTTACGTGAATCACTATCAGAAAATCGCTAAAAAAAAATTATAAATATTTTCTTATAGGCGATTCGTTGGAATTTAGCATCCGAGACATAGAAAATTTTGGTAGTGTATCACATAAAATGGTGCAATATTTTTGAAATAATTTAACTTTAAGCTTCTCATTTACACTTAACGGTATGATTTTATAGTCTAGATCATACTTATGAAATGTTTAGACCAAAAATTTCAAAAGTCTTTTTTTAGCGATGGACAACGTCTCTTGCTAAATGACAAAAATACTTCGTTAATCCTTTTTGACGATAGATTACCATGAACAACAAGTTAGCGATAGATTATCATGAAACCATATATATATGGGCCTATCTAATGATAAATTTCACAGCTAATTCATATTTGTGTCTAATATATGTTGTTATATAAATTGAGACGGAAAAAATAATAATATTTTTTTTATATATAAGATAAAGAAGTCAGAGAATTGGTTACCTGATATATAATAGAGGGAGACACATTGACACAATAAGGACTTCTGAATATATACTGACTGACTCAACATATATACAATAACAAATCAAAGATATCCCAATTAAGTTTCCCATCTTTTTACTGACTCTACAAAATAATCTATCACCAATCCCAAAAATGTATTCAAGAAATAATAATAATAATAATAATAATGGAATTAACATATTAATATTCATTTTTGATTATATACGATATAATGATCAAAATCATATCTGAATTATCACTAACTTTTTGTGACTTTTACACCGTTATTCTATATTGTTATCTAAATTATGGTTATTGTGTATTAAACACACCTTGAATACTGACTAGACTATCGCTATCGATCTACTCAATTAATCTGATAATATTATTTCAGAGGTATTTTTTATTATTAACTCACTATATATTAAAGGACAAGAAGCAACATGTATATAAACAAAAAAGAGGAGGTGTGTGGTGGGACTAAAAACTACTAGTGGAACATGAGAACAAACAAGGCAACAAACAATATTGAAAAATTAACCACCATCATTATAATCATAAACAGTTACAATAAGTTCAATACTAAAAACTTTAAATCGATGTCTTACTTAACATAAATACCAAAAAAATAAAATACTAATTCCTAATTGAAAGAAAAATAGACCTAAATAGATAAGTATTATAAATTTGATTTTTTTTTACCTCATAATAAAATAGAGCTAATTAATTAATTAAGGTAGTGTACTATATTGATTCAAATTGCTCCAAGCTTGAATAGTACTATTCCAATTGTTGACATTTTGATCATCATTTGCATTTGCATTTCCATTTCCATTGTTGTTGTTGTTGTTGTTGCTATTTGTTGAATTTGGATTTACACCAAATGAGTTATCAAAGAACCATTCAGTTGACAAATTGTTCCCATGATGACTTCCCATAGTAGTACTACAATCTTTTCTTGAATCAACATTGTTGTTTCCAAATGTTTCTTGATGATCTTCTTGTTGTTTCGATGATGAAATCTCCAAATTTTGGAACAAAATTGGTTGTGGCTTTTGGATTTGGATTTGGTTTTGGTTTTGATTTTGGTTTTGATCATCATGAAGAGGGATTGATGATGAAACAATGTTTTCCTTTTGATTTTCACCACCAAATAGCATGGACAATCTTTGTTGTTGTAATTTCCAATGCAAATCTTGGTTTATTGAACTCAAAGACTCTATAGAAGATGCCATTGTACCATGATGAACTCCCATTGATCCCATTTCTTGAACTCCATCAGTACCTGTTCAAACATAATATAATTAAGTAAGTACGAGTATATTAATTATAATTAAAAAGATGTATAGTCCCCTACATCTTAACATGTTGTTAGAACAGATAAGAGGTCGTAGGTTCAAATTTCACGTGTTTAGGTCATAATTAGGCCTGAGAGGAAACGACACTAAAGCCTCGAGTTTTACACTTCATCGTGATATGAGAACACGCGAGATATGCTGATTAAGTTCAAATTAAACATCACCGTTGTCGTGTTAAAAAATTCCAAAGAAAACTTTCGCATGTTTGACACATAATAAAAAAGAATCAGACTCACACGTTAAAGACGTGTAATGACACACAAGAGAATTAATTGATTCTTACCTTGTTTTAGCATAGAACTTGAGAAAGGGAAATTATTATTGAATCCCAATAAAGAACTTCCTGAAGGATCAAGACTAAAACAAGAAGTTGATCCAATATTTGGAGTTGAATTTTCACCAAATGAAGTAAATTGGTTGAAAATACTTCCACCAACTGTTGATGTTGAAGTATTATTACTCAATCTTGGAAAATTTAGTCCTCCAAGTTGAAAATCCATAGCTGGTGAAAGACCATGAAAAAATTTAAGTCCACCAATATCTGAAGAACCACTAATTGTATCTTTTGAATCCCCAGAAAATCTTGAAGAAGATGAACTAGTCTTTATCTTCTTGTTTTTCCTGCAACCACCACCTATTGGAACGTTGCGTAAAGCGCCCCCTTTAGTCCAGTACCTGTCAATACACAATATAATTAAGTAACTAAAAAAGCAATATTTCCAATAATATAAGTTTTTAGATTAAACATGTTATCAGAGCAGGTAAAGCGTGTCGCCATTCAAAATCTCACAAAAAAACTCAAAAAAGAAAAAAAAAACATTAGATGAAAAGGTTATACGTTCAAGAGTTAATAAAAGTTTTTAAATAGAAATAAATCATAATAATTCAAAAATGTTATCAGAGCAGGAAAGGCGTGTATGGCAATTCTAAACCTCATAAGCCACCACAAAAAGCAAAAATAAAAAATAAAAATTGATAAGACGGTCATACAATTCAATAGTTTACCTTCTGCAAGTCTTACAGAAATGTCTTGGTTGCGAAAGACTATAATTGTTATAATAGCAAAACTTGGTGTTGGGAGAATCACATCTAGGACAATTCAAAGCTTGTTCTTTTGGCCTCGCCCCCATGGGTCCACCACCACTACCATCACCACCACCAGAACTCTGGCTTTCGTCTTTGTTATCTTGACTCATCATAACATAAAAGGATTTTAGCGACTTCACTCTTCTTCTTCTTCTTTCTCGAGTGTGAAGAAGAGCTAGCTAGCTAGTAAACAAACCCTAATAATGAACAGTGTATAAAAAATTAAATAAATATATATATATATATATAAATAGAAATGATAAAAAGGAGAGAGGTGGAGGAAATTAAAATTTAGTTGTGTTTGAGTTTCCTTTAGAAGAGGTAAAAGATTTCTTTGAATGGTTTCATGCATGGATTTTTAATTTTGTAAGATGAGAAGATGTTGATAGATGCTTGTGAACTTCATCAAGAAGTTGTTTTCTAATATTATTATTTTTTGTTGTGAAGAGAGAAACTAACAAAGAAAGAAAAATGAGTTGTGTTTGATTGTTATAGAGATGTGATGGAATAAATAAAGTAGGTTACATGTGAAAGAGAGTTGAGGGTGGGGTGGGGGGGGGTGCGGGGTAGGAGATCTCACTAGAAAAGGGACTAAGGTATATACATTTATATATTCTTAGGTAATAGAAAGAGAAAGGATATATAAAAAGACAAAAGAGAGACTAGGTGATCAGAGATAGATGAGGCAGAATGGTGAGATTTTCATATGTAAGTGAGTACAAATGTAAAGTAGAAGGTAGTTTGTGAGGTAACAAACAATGGAGTAAATATCGGGTTGCGGTGGAGTAGTAAGTATTCTTTAATTCTTAATTAGAGGTCTCTGATTCGAGTCCTCTATGGAGTCGCCTTTGTTAAAACGCGCTTTACTCTGAAACTTTCCGACATATATTCGAATTTTATCGGACTATAATATCGATTACCGGACTTTGAGTGGGAAGCCAAAAAAATAATCAAGTGAATATAATGAAGCGGAATCAGAATTTTTATTGAGAGTCAAGATATTAAAAAATAAGTTAACCTGGGAAGAGGTTGAGAAAATACAATTATAATATAATTTTTCAGTAGAATAATGTATATTGACACCCCTTAAATATTGATGGCTCTGTAATTGAGTAAATAAGTAGATTTTTTTTAAAAAAAAATAGACACGTGAGATATTGGATTAATTAAGTTGATTGTATCATTAAGGAAATTAGAATTTTAATCATAAATTTGACATAATTTTTTTAAAAAAAAACTAAGAGAAATTTTAACTAAGAAATTTATATATATGAATAATTTATCAAAAATTCAGCAAATTACCAATTTTTTGAATTCAAAAACTATAAACTCAAACTTTTGAATATACTATAATCTCTAATAGTAAGAATCTTGCTGATGATAATAACCAAAAGAAGAATTTGAAAGACAAGTCTGTTGCTTTTTAAAAAAAATCATAAATGTATAATTGTATATATGAATTTTTTTGCTACTCCTCCCCCATGAGATGAACTTAAATGAAATGACATGATCGAGGATAATTTTGATTAAGTTTATGTGGTCATAATCAGTTTTATTTATGGTTTTAAGTAATTAACTTTAGCAAATAAATAAATAAAAATATAAAAATAAAATAAAATATATATATATATAATTGATTCAAAACAAAATAGGTTATTATTTCTAAACTTTAGGATTTATAAGTTCAAAATTCTAATCTCTAGTAATAAAATTTTGTTGATGATTATAACGAAGAGGAATTTGAAAAATAAGGCTTATGCATTTTTTATTTTTATCATATATATATGCTCTTTTTTGGAATTGAAGTTCAATTATTAATTATTGTCATTACTATCTGCGACAAAATTAATGTTTTGATTATGTTTTAGTGGGCAAAATCAAAGTTTTAATTATGAGTTTTTAATAACGTTAGCACCAAAAATAATTTATATTTGTACTAAAAAAATTATATATACATATAAAAATTATATAATTTATTTAAAACTTAATAAGTTATCATTTCTAAAATTATGAACCTATAAATTCAAAACTCAACAAGAATATGTATTTTCAGACTTAATATACACGTGCAATGTATATGCAATATTGAGATACAATTATTTTTTTATCGTTTTATATGTTTAGGTGAATAAGTGACATTAGGACCATCCACATCCATCATTCACAAGACTCAACAATATTCTTGAAATTGAAGTTCAATTATTGCTTTTATTGTTGTTATTATAGCGGCGAAATACACATTTTGATTATGTTTTTACTATGAACTTTGATTTTTTTGAAATTAAAGTTTTATATTGTTAGTATTGTCGTTATTATCAGCGACGAAATGAATATTTTGATTTTGTTTGTGTGGGTAGAATCAGAGTTTTAGTTTTGGGTTCTTAGTAAATTTAGCGAAAGAAATATACTCATTCAAAGCACAATAAGTTACTATCATTTTTTAAATTTAGAATCTATAAATTCAAAATTCGGATCCTTATTAATAAGAAGCGATGTGATCAAAGACACGTTCAAATAATGAACTTTAACTTTCTTGAAATTAAGTTCAATTGTTGCTTTTATTGTCACCATTATCAATATCAATGGTGAAACAAACATTTTGATTTCGTATATGTGGGCAGAATCAGAATTTTAATTATATATTTTTATTAACTTTAAAACTCAATAAATTATATTTCTAAAATTTTGAATCTACAAATCCAAAACTAAACAAGAATATACACTTTTATACTCGACATATACGTGCAACGTAACGTATGTGCAATGAGATATAATTAATTTTGTCCGTCTTCATCGATTTAGGTGAATAAGACAAAAGAATCAACAATATTCTTTTATGTAAAATTAGTTACGTTACTCAATACTAAGCTTAAATAGTATCAAATAATTTATATTTTTAAACAAGTCATATACGTGTAACACACGTGCGAAAAAATTGATATATATATATATATATATATGACATAATTTTGTTACTCTCATGAATGATGTGGAATAAACTTAAATGAAGCCATATGATTAATGATAATTTGTATATAGTGAAACTTTACTTCGATTGAAATTGAAGTCTATATATATCGTTGTCATTGTTGTTATTATCAGTGGCGAAATTAACATTTACAAATTATATACATATACAATTATTTTTTGTTCATTAAAGATTTGATATTCATATTCAAATCTGATTAAATTTGAATTTATTCATTACAATAGAATCATTTCTGAACACGACATACACAATAAAATTATTTTCATTCCTAAATGCTCAAAATCAAAACTTTTAATTAAAAACGAGAATCAAAATCATTCTACCGCAACTAATGTTAACGAAGATGAAGTAATGTACTTGTACTTAATCACAAGTTGATGAGTAGGACAAGTGCAGAAGCTAGTTCTACTGCAGTAAACTTAGGTAGTAGAGTAGTATATATAATAATAGCTTTAAATTTTAATTGTAGCACCCAATTAAATGCATGCATGCATGCAAAAAACAATTAACACTATTATCGATTGTGGGAATTAAAGAAAGTCTCCAATAAATGGGGTTATTTTTTCATGCTAATGCATTGAATTACTAAATGGATGTGATAGGAGAGAATGTAGATATCAAAGTGGAAATTAACTATAGTATACTACTAATTCTAATTTATCGTGACATATTTTTCTTTTTAATCTGTAAAAATTTAATTTTGTTAAATTTTTAAAATAATTTTAATTTATAATTTTATATTTTATCCTAATTAATTACTTAATTCTATAGCTATAAAAAATAGATTTTTTTCTTAAATTTTGTATTCAATCATATACTTTCGTCTTTTTTCATAAAGACGACCATTTTCTAGATTTATAATAAATTTAACTTTAAATTTGATATTTTTATTATCACAAAAATGACTATATAACCTTAAAATTCTTATTTTTAAAACTAACCACAAATACAATAATGTTACTAGTAGAAAATCGTAAACTTTCAATAGACATCCCATCGAAATTCAGCTTGTCGCTTAGAAATTTCTGATGGAAAATCCGACACAAACATAATTATAGCGATTTTCAATAGTGATATCCCATCAGAAAAGTTACAAACCCCGAGTGCAAAATTTTCTTTTTTTATACTTTGTGTTCGGCCACACATTATCACATAAATTAAGATAAATAGAATATATGATAAAACCAAAATATAGATGCATATATACTAGTAGTAAGTTGTAGAAGCATATTGTAACAATAATAACATACTCAATATTAACTTTACAAGTGTCATCTAAAAGATACGTAAAATATACATAAATCTTATTACTACTCTATAGAGCGATAAAAGATATTATTTTTCGATAGATCCTCAAAATATATAGTAGTAGTAGAAGGATCTCCGACTGATAGTATAGCTAGGGTCAGTGGTAGGGGGGTGGGGGTGGGGTGTATCAGTGATTAGTGTGTGAGAAAAGAGGCAACAGTTGCTGTGTGAAAGTGGCAGGGACAACAGCCTTGTCTCTACCTTCTTATGTAATGTCCCTTTTAACTCTATTTAACCCCCACACCTCTTTTTTTTTCTCCTTCCAAGCTTCGACATATATATATTATATAAAAATATTAATTAACAAGCTTACATAGTCATTAATGTAATCTACTAATATTAATTGTCAAGTTAATTTCATAATTTATCGTCTCATTTTATGTGGTGATATTTGATTAAACTCTCTATCTTGTAGCGCTAACAAGTGAAGAAAGCCTTTTCATTTCAATTCATAAAAAACTTTGTAAAATCGACAAACAACATATATAATACATAAATCTGCCATTCAACTTAGCTTTAGCTAACATCTATGCGCTTCAATTTTAGATGTGCACAAGTAGACACTTAAACTTATTATAAAAATTGAACAAATAGACAATACATTCGTCTTACCTAGCGTCATACTTGACAATTTTGTGTCCTACGTGTATTATGCTATGTAGGACGCATGCACGTGTCTGTTGCTTGTTCAGTTTCATATAAATTTAAGTGTCTACTTATGCACACCCAAAGTTGGAGGCATAAATATCAGTTGAAGCTAAATTAAAGGGTATATTTATGTATTATGTATATCTTAAATGTGAAACGGAAAGAATATTACTTACAACGGAACTATAAAAAGTTGAGGTGAATACTAATTTTGATCGATTAATTTTAGTGCCCGTTTGGATTGACTTATTTTAGGTGTTTTTAATCCAAAATAGCTTTTAAGCAGTTTT